CGAATAACTTCGGTTCAACAACTATGAAGCTGTTGAAACTGTTGCTCGACTTCGACTAGCTCGCAAAATGGGTTGGGAAAAGACGACTCGAAAAACTTCGGTTCAACAGCTATGAAGCTGTTGAAACTATTGCTCGACTTCGACCAGCTCGCAAAATGGGTTGGGAGAAGATGACTCGAAAAACTTCGGTTCAACAGCTATGAAGCTGTTGAAACTGTTGCTCGACTTCGACCAGCTCGCAAAATGGGTTGGGAGAAGACAGTAAGGTGAAGAAAGAAAAGCAAACAATAAAATAAAAAGCCACAACCACGAAAAGACGACGATATGGAAATAGCACAATAAGCATTATAATTAAAATAAAATTCATTACATCCGACACCATCTCACCCTTTACATAAGGAAAATAGGATGAGATGGTAAAACAAGAAAAGAAAAGACAAACAGAAACAAGTAGAAAAAAAAAAAAAAAAATCTAAGCCTGCTGGGAGTCGGTCGTCGACTTCTCAGCAACATCTTCGCCTGCATCGCCAATTGGCTCGGTCCGAGCACCTCCCTCCTCCACAATCGGCTCCGTGTTAGGCCGCTCGACTTCAATCTCCTCGTCTAACGGCTCATCCTCGAAGTTCGCACTACTCGGCTCGACCAATTCAACAGGGCCGACCAAAGGAAGTGGTGGAACCTCAAGCTGAGAGGATAGCCTAGCCGAGTGGATGGCCTTGGCCGCCAGGCCACTCCACCACGCATGGCCGGGGGGGAGAGCAGCTTCCCGAAAACCCTCAGGGTCGGGGAGAGTTAGCTTCACGGCGTCACGGTCGATCTTACCCGAAAAGTCAGGCTTGGTCACGGCCTGCTCCCATGTGTCGCAGGCAAAGTCGAAATACTCGACGGTCGTGGGGACAAGCTCGTCAAGAAATTCCGAGGAAGAGCAGAATCCCTCGACCACAGCCTTGCGGTAGTGCTCAAGAAAAACCGCTCTCGCGGTGGACTTCAAGAAGGTCCGTCGACCTTCCTCTATCCCATTCTCCCGCTCGACCAAGATTTCATCGCTCGCCTTGGCCAAGTCGACCCTTAGCCGCTCAGCCTTACGGACAGCCACCTCCTTGTCGGAACGGAGTTTGGTGATGATGGCGTTGGCAGGCTCAAGCTCCTCCTCCTTGGCCGCAAGTTCGGCACACTTGGCCGCATACTTCTCCCCCAAAACCTTGAGATTAGTCTCAGGGGAGGTCGCCTCCTCGATCATAGTGGGGAGAATGCAGGCAAGAAGCTAAAAAAAAAAAACAAAACAAACAATAAAATAATAAGAAATCGACACCACTAAAATCATGAGGAAAACGCAAACAAACTTAAGATTAAGCCTACCCGAGGAATCAGCCGAGCGGCATAACGAGCTCTGTCATATGGGTTGCCGTCGGAACGAGCTCGGTCGTCCTCCGGAAGAACCGACTGGAGGTAGTTGAGAATCTGGAGAGAGTCGGGGTTGTCATAGAGTCGAGAGGGTTGCTGAAGGGTCACCGGTTGTACCCTCACGGGCGACGGTTGTCCCGCACCCTCTCCGTCAGGCGCAGTCGCATCGACGATGGCCTCTGGCTCTCTCCTCTCCTGACGCTTCGAGGAGGCAGGTGCCAGAGCCTTATCCTGCTGGTCACGAGGCCTCTTGCGAGAGTGGGAACCCGACGGCTTGCTGGGAACAGAAGCGGAAGGGAGAACGACTTTAGATTTCTCAAAGCGGGCCAATGCTTTTACTAAAAACAAAAAAAAAAAGAGAATGATCAAGTACAAACAAACACACCAGCCTTACGTGCTTTTCAAATGAACGCAGAAACGCGAGACCAAACAATCAGTAAGTAAATTGAAACAAAAGACGACAAACAAAGAAGCTTACAAGGATCGTTAAGACGAGGAGCACTTTTATAAACACAAATACCAACATGATTAAGTAAAGAAGTATCTTTGGTTAGTCGACGAGCGCTCCATACGTGTCTGTTTAACTCTTCTAGCATATCAGCGAACTGTGAAGAGTCGGGACGCTTACGCTGCTTGGTCTTATTGGTAATCCACTCATTCGAAAAGGGATACTGGCCAGGAGCAGGTCGAATGAAGAAGTACTTCTTTTTCCATTCGGTAATGTTGGAAGAGAGGTCATCAAGGAAAGTAACACCTACTCGACGGCCCAGACAATGGGCGTCCTTGCTAAACCTATACCCGTAACAGTAAAGGAAAAACTCGGGTAGAAAATTACCTAAAACTATGCGGGTAACAACTATGAAAGCTACCATTATTCGAATAGAATTGGGGGTGAACTGGTTTATTGGTATATCGAAAAGGTTACTTAACGATTGCAGTTCAGGTTGAATCGGGAAACGCAGGCCCGACATTATTTGATCCACGAAAAAAGTAAAACAACCCTTGGGAGGGCGACGGAAGTCGTCTTCGGGCTTAGGAGCAACTACAGCCCAATCCGAGGGAAGGCCGCTGAACTCTCTGAAGCCATCGATTTCGGCTGCAGGATCATAAGAAAACGATAGTAAGAACTTACCACGGAACATGCTATAGTTGCAGAATCGATTAAGGGAAGTCATTATCAAGTAAGGAACAAGGCTGGACGCGTGGATGAGGATGCTCGAAAAAATCTAGCGGAAAATACCTCGAGGAGCCAAGTCGGGGTAAGAGGATTCAAGGGTTTTGAGAACTTCGGGATCCTAACAAAGGGTACCCGAAAGCAACGCCTGGTTATACACAGCCCAATCGATACCGAAAGGTGAGGCATGTGAATGGACAAAATCCTCCGGCTCGACGTTTCGGTGAGAACACGGCTCGACATCGTTTGGGTGAACAGAGTCCGAACCCGAATAGTTATCGATTTCACGGGCAAGAGAACCGGAGACGGGGTCAGAAACAGGGTCGAGATTGGAATCTAAGAAGAAAAAGAACGGCAATCAAGAAAAGTTATTAGAAACCGTGATTCGATTCAAAGAGAAGGGTTAACAAAATAACCAGGATAACACGAGAAGCGTCTCGACAACGGGAAGAAAGGGAGAAAAAATAAGAAAAGTAGTTCCCATATCGATTCGACTTGACAAATAAAGGTCAAGTCAGGAAAGGAAAAGAGTCGATCTCTGTTGTTATGTGATTAGTAACAACGATTTACTCTATGATTAAGGAAGTAATTTGGGGTGATTTTAACGTAAAGCATGTAAGAGTGAATCAACAATGGCCCCGGTCCGAGGTGAACCGAGGTGAAGAGCCGTGATGGGCTTTTTCGCGTTACGTAATAAAGGGTTTACAGTTCGGTCCTGTATATATCCATCGAGAGCTTTACAATTGTCATGGGTCCGCTATTTATAGTAGTTTTGGGTTGAGGCATCGGGATCCGCGTAATACTTTTTGAATAAAGTAGCTTTTCATGAGCGGTTCGAGGCAGGGGGTCCCACGTAAATGATGACAGATCTTGTGGAGTAGGAGGATCTCACGTAGATGCCTTGTCACCTGCTTAAGGAAGTGGCGACCTCGGTTCATGTTGTCTTCGGTGGGTGTTGACCTCGGTAATCATTGGTCACTTCGGTCTTCGGTGATTCAGACCGGTTCTTTGGTGTAGATCGGCACGGTTATGATTCATGTCGGTTTGCCTGTTAATCGCGTTTACTTAGATGTGCAAAACCTCTTAACAGCGTCTTGCCGAGTCGGATGATAACAATCTCATAACAAGACGACTAGCAAAAGAGAACACTTGAAAAGATGAAAAACTTACAATCAGAGATCTAACAGGAAAATCGCCAGAAGATTCACATGCAATTCCCAGAAAATGAAAGATGTTCTTAATCCCAGACAATTTACCCAGAAAAATAAAAAGCGTTCTTATCTCGAAATACGAAAACAAGTCGAACAGGCAAAGAAAACTTACTCATACTCATGATGCTTGACGGAAAGTCCTGAGAAATCGGAGAAGGATGCCGGAGAATAAGAGCGCCGGAAAGTTGTGTTTGCCGAAAAAAACAGAAAGCTTAAAGGAGGTGAGTGCGAAAAGTGAGGACGAGAAAAGGTGGGGATTATTTATGGAGAGGGCAGAGAAACCCCAGCCCTCAGATTAAAGTCATTTTGAAAACTATCAAAGTCGACTTTAACAAAGTCGACTCCGCTAGTAAGGCTCCACGGTACTCACAGTCAAGGATCCCGGCTCTCGACTGAGTCGACGTACACCTGTCGACTAGCATAAGTCGATTTCTGCCAAGACGACGGTCAGACGTATCAGGATCCACTAACGGTTGAATGCGATCCAGTCGACTCGACTCGATATCTCAGGTCGACTGAAGGAGTCTTGCAGTTCGTAGTTCTCGATAGCTTTGATACACCTCAGCATATTGAGGGAGAGTTAAGGATATGAAGGAAGCTAAGGAAGGATCTAGATGCTGACTAGGAAGTAGGCAGAATACAAACCGACCAGGGTATTCTGGACATTTCCAGTATGTCGGCCGGGGCACTTTGGGGACTTCAGGTAAATTTTGCACTTCTATATAAAGGACTGAGGTAATCCCAAAACCCTAACTCCCATTCATTCCATATTCTTTTCATTACTGCTGCCGCTCTCAGAGCAGCTCTCTTCATCTCTTTCATATACTGACTTGAGCGTCGGAGGCTCTACGCCGGAAATCCCTCCGGCGTTGAGTTATTGCAGGTGTTCTTGTGGTTCGACAACAATTTGGAGACCATCAGGACAGATCTGAGCTCGTTCTCATCGGTTCATTCCAGATCCGGGCGATTTTCCACCGGTTCACCCCAGATCCGAAAATAGACCCATCAGTCGGAATCTTGTTAAGTAGAATTTGCCTTGAGACTTCTTTGAAATAACTCGATTAAATTTGTGAAACATAAATATGATTGAGGCATTTCTTGTTTTCCCCTTTTCCTTTTTATTTTCGTAAATAACAGTCACTAGTTACCCCCTTTTAGCCTTGGTCGATTTTATTGATTAGCCTCGTGATGATGATATAGAGTTGCGGGTTGAATGTTGGAGGTGATAGTTGATTGCATTGCATATATGTTTATTTGCTTTGACAAAAAAAAAAAAGAGAAAAAAAAAGAGAAAAAGAAATGGGAAAGCCAAATGGATTATACTCCTAGCACTCTGGCCACTAATATAGTGGATAAGAGCCATGAGTACGGGAAACCAGTCTAGGAGACTCGGGCAGAAAACCCGAAGGCTAAACCTAGATAAGACGTCCAAATAGTTTTTGCAAAAAAAAAAAAAAATAAAAATAAAAATGCTTGGTATGTATGTTGGTCTTGGAGTTAGTGGGAGGAGCTGGTTGGTGACAACTGGAGGTGTTTGTTGATATGGTTGGGTGCAGAGTTGAGTTGATTTATCTTGAGCCACTTAGCCGATATGTTTCCTACCCTGTCCAAAGAGCCTACATTACAACCCTTAAAGACCTCTTGATTCATTGTCTTATAAATTTGATTGTTTTAGAGTAGAAGTTAGTCGATAGGCAAATCTATGATCGACTTGACTGATGACCAATTTGAGTGCTCCTGTCTTTTATTTTTGCGAAAAAATGAGTGAGGCATTATCATCATATCTCCGTACTAGAGAGTTTGTGTTAGCATGTGATTGAGTTCATTGTCATGGTGTGTTCTTGAGGTCATTGGAATTCTTTTCAA